CGTGCTGGAAATACCAACAGCTTACTCACTTCTACAAATACCTACAGTGATTAGAACTGCAGTCCAGCACGTTATCCCTCAGCACAGGAGAGGGAAAAATCAGATTACAGCCCCACAAACTCCCTACACCCAACACAGGAGATTAAAGAGAATAAATAAATAAACAGTGCTTGGCATGAAGGCATATGAGGTAATAGAAAGCCTGGTAATGAAGGTGAGACACAAATTCAGTTTTAAACTAAAATATGCCTCATTTTTGACAAATTTTATCATTTGTAAGTATGAAAACATAGGAGTGCTACGAGTGAGGACGCAGAGAAGCCCCAACAGACCTGAGATGCTGCAGAGTGCCAAAAAACCCTCTGGTTCTCAAGARCAGGATGGAAAATGAGTCAATTTATCACCTAATCATGAACAGTAAGTATCATTAATACGAGCATGAATCTCTGGCTTTCCAGTCCTGGGCGCATTTAAAGGGACATAGGGACAGCCCAGGGACCCTGAGGGATCCCTGTCAGGGAGCACTCAAGGGCTGAATAAAGGTACACAGGCACATACTGGGAACCCTGGCAGGGATCCTTAAATCCCTAAGGAACACAAGGACATCCAGGGGACCCAGCGAGGGATCRATTCCTGGATCCCTGAGGGACACAGATACATCCAAGGAACCCAGTAAGAGATCCCTGGAGATGCCCCAGCCCGGGCGAGGAGACGGCGGGCGCCGGTGCCCCGACAACTCTCCGCAGCACCGGTGTCGAGTTACGCAAGGCATCCCTTCCTCTATCGCGACATGGGCCCGTGCCACGAGGGGACGGTGACGTCGGGACAACCGGGGGATCTCGGGGGCCCCTTTCGCAGCCGGCGGGCTCCSGGCTCCACCCGTCGCCCGTGCCCCTCGAAGGCTCCGCAGAGGCCGCGCTTACCGTGCGTGCCCTGGGCCGGGGTCGGTGGCGGGGTCGGTGGCGGGGTGTCTCGGCCGGTACCGCTCCTGAGTCCCCTCACGGCCCCTCACGGTCCCCGCCCGCCTCCACGTCGCCGGCGCGGCCCCGCTGCGCGTGCGCAAAGCCCTCGCGGGGCGGCGCGCGGGGCACGACGGGAATTGTAGTCCGGTGCGGGCGGGGCGGCCATGACAGTTCCCCGTGTCCCGGGCCGGTCCCCAGAGCGGCCGGAGAGGAGAGCGGGATTGTGCCCCTCTGYCCCGCTCAGGTGAGCTGAGACCCCACCTGCAGAGCTGCCCCAGCCCTGGGCAACAACAGCACAGGGACCTGGAGCTGCTGCAGCCAGGCCAGAGGAGGCCACGGAGATGCTGCCAGGGCTGGAGCCCCTCTGCTCTGGAGCCAGGCTGGGAGAGCTGGGGGTGCTCACCTGGACAAGAGAAGGCTCCAGGGAGAGCTCAGAGCCCCTTTTGGGGCCTAAAGGGGCTCCAGGAGAGCTGCACAGGGACTGGGGACAAGGGCTGCAGGGTCAGGACACAGGGAATGGCTTGGCAGTGCCAGAGGGCAGGGATGGATGGGATATTGGGAAGGAATTGCTGGCTGGGAGGGTGGGGAGGCCCTGGCACAGGGTGCCCAGAGCAGCTGTGGCTGCCCCTGGATCCCTGGCAGTGTCCAAGGCCAGGCTGGACATTGGGGCTGGGAGCAGCCTGGGACAGTGGGATCTGTCCCCTGCCCATGGCAGGGGATGGTACTGGATGAGCTTTAAGATCCCTCCCACCCAAACCCATTCTATGATTCTAAAACAGCAGTGAAAGAAAGATGCTGCACTATTATCTAAAAGCATTTCTAATGTAAAAAAATCACCATGGCAAACATGGCCTTGGAGACCTTTTCAATTAAATTACGGCAGACAAGTTCATTGAAAACAGAAATAATGGCGTCTGTTACAACCAAAATATAATTTGGTTCAGCAAGCACGCKCTAACAGAAAACTGCACAAGGAAGATAATCCCTTTTTTCATGTCTTAGTTTAATGAAACAGAATTACTTCTCACTAAAGGAGATTTGGTTAAATTAACCTAAGTGCAAATTAAATTTCTCTTCATTTCCTTTACCTGCCWCTTCTGAAGTCACTGTTCTTTTAGCAATAAAGTTCTGCACTGTACAGAAATCATGTAGGAGTGACTCTGAGGACTGAACCTCAGCAATGTRTCCAACAGCTCCCAGAATTCCAGCTGGGATATGATTACTACATCTGGGTAAAAACAGATTTTGTGTACTGTAAGTAGATCAGATTTTAACTTTATTGTCAGTTTAGACATTCTTAGTAGCTGATCATATGCAATTTAAAATGCCAGAATTTCCTTACTTTTCAGGATCTGGCCCATCAAAATAATCAGCAAAATAAAATKAATTCATTTTTATTTAAGAATTTTTGTTATATAGTTGCATTTTTTAAATGTGTTTTTCAATTAACTTCTTAGCATCTAGCTAGCTATGCAAACCAATACACAGAAGGTACCACATCCCATTTAAACCTACCCCTTAAGAAAAAATACTTGAAATTAGTTGATTTGAACGATGGTTTTTCAAACATTGATTTACTGATCTTTTCTCAATAGTATTTAAATAAAGCCAGACAGGTTTAATGATGAAGAACTTAGGGCTAGATTTGCAGTACTACAACCTTGGTCCCCTAAAGTTGCCAACTCTGAAATTTATTTCTAAAAGTCTCCGGTGCAAATTAAGCTGGTACTTGATCTAGAAAATTCTGATACATGTCCACTTTCCACCATCAAGTGCCTAAACCTTTTGTAAATCTTATTTTTAGTGAGTAACAAGCACATGGGAATTTTCTCAGTTAAATTTAACTCACTTGGTATTTATTTCTCTCATGTTTTCCTTAATTTCTGTCTCCTTATTTTTCTTAAAGAAAGCTTTATGCACTCCTTTGCATCCCAGCAGATGATCTCCTGCTCTCCTGCCCTGAATTTTGCTTTCACCAATTTTTATTTTACTATTCACAACACTATAAAATTATTGACCTATAATTGGAAAAGAATAGGGGCAGAAGAGTTRTAACACAACTCTCCTGAYAGGACTTGCAGTGATGTGCYTCACACAGGAAAGTTTTGTGATGTAGAGTACTCACTTTAGGGTTTAAATGCATCTGATAAAAGCAATGGAACACGATTTCAGGGAGTACAAACATGTAATTTTACTTGCATTACTGCCCATTTCCATTTTTGCGTTTTTTTTTCAGTAGGATTGGTGTTTAAATATGGTGTGGTGCTGGCACATAGCTGGATTCTAGTGCAGCTAGAATCACTATACCCTTTGCTATAATTAACTATACACTTTATTTTCCATCTTATTGTTTGACACCCTTTTTCTTCTGGGGTCAGGCTCTGCTCMCAGGGAACAGGGACAGGAGTAGAGGAAATGACCTCAAACTGTGCCAGGGGAGGGGCAGGATGGACATCAGCAGGAATTTCTCCATGGAAAGGGTGGTCAGGCCTTGGCAGGGTGGTTTGGAGTGCCCATCCCTGGAGTTGTYYRAGGAAGAGCTGGAYGTGGCACTCAGGGTTCTGGGCTGGGRGCARGGTGGGCATCGGGCACAGTTCCAACCTAAATGATCCTGGGAATCACTGATTAGGAGAAAGCTGTATCTGTGATACACTGATCCAATGGGGGATATGTTCCAAAGATGAGGCAAGAGCTGATTAAACATCAATTCCAAACTCACTGCTGAACAGACTCGCTGATGAAGGCAGAGCAAACAGCATCAAGGTCTCACATGGAGGTTTCTGTGACTGAGCTCATTACAAAGCCATGGCTGTGGCTACCAGGGCACATCTGTGAACACTGCAGATCAATTGACACCAGGTCTGACCAAACCGGGCACCGATAGGAAATGAGGCACCTCACCAGAGGTGTGGGCCGGGCATAATTAAATAGAGGAGTAATTCATTAGCTGGTGAGAGAAATCACTCACAAGAACAAGACTGGACCACAGTGACAGTTCAAGAACTGCCTGTATTAAAACGTGTGTTTTTAGGCCTGCCTGAGGTTGGATTTTAGGGAAAATAAACCATAAAAGCAATTCAAAACTGCTGGAACGGTTTCATTTTGAATCTTTTAAAAAGCTCTCTGGTTTGGCAGACAGGAAAAGGCAGGAATTACCRCTTTTATTCCGTAAGCACAGGGACATCTAAAATCGTTCACAGCTGGGATGCAAGTCAGCAGCAGAATCCACCTTCCCAGGAGCAGGCAAAGCTGAGCTTGCTTAATTCACTTTATCATGAACTCAGYTATTTTAGGACCTTCTTCTGCCTGGGGCCTGTCTCCAGGTCTCCAAAGATTTTGTCAGTACTTGAGGTTTTTRTAGCTCCGAAACCCAAGAATTCTGCGATTCTGCATAATAAGTGTGTGAAGCAACTTTATTTTTTTAAAAATCCTGGTTTATTATCATTAGAACTCCACAAGCATGTTAAAGAGGTTTTAGTTGTATGTTGGGGTATATTTAAAGCCAGAACTGCACTGTTTTGAATCACCACAACAGAACATAAAGCAACATTCTCTTGCATCATGCTTCTGCTGCTCCTCTTCAGGAAAAAAAGGCATATTTCAAGAAAAAAAAAATAATGGAAAATTAATGGAAGTATCACATCAAGATCTTCTGCTTTTAGTAAGCTACATAAATTTTGCATATAGCGTAACTCCTTCAGTTCACCCATACATTTGACAYGAAAAATCTGAACTTGTCATAGATAAACAATGAGCTTTTGTTGTCACAATGCAGTCCACAGTTCTTCACCAAGAACAGATAAAGCCTTTAARGTGAAAGTCTCAAGTATTGCACCAGCACTGACTGATTAAGATGCTAAGATACATTTGCCTTACACAGATAGATTTATTCGTAAGTTACTTTGCCTAAACTTTAATCACATGAAACAGATGGTAGATGAAAAGTAGTTCCAGCAAGAAAAATACAAGAACTTCACCCTTCAAATACTTTAAATTAACAAATGAGCTGCCATTTAAGTGGCAAAAGAGACACTCTCCTGCAAGCAATAAAGGTTTTTATTCAGCTAAAATGTGCAAAGAAAAAGGTSTCAAAGTGAGAGGAGTATCAGCAGTTCATACTGGATGCGAGGGAATAAAATTCTTAGGAATTTACTCCTTTAATCCGTTTTCTTGCTAATTCTTGCGGATTTCTTTGTAAAAATTCCTCTTGGAACGCCATTGCTTTCAGGCTGCAAATAAAAGACATTGTCATTAATAAGATGTCAAATTAGAACTTCACACTTAAAACGGTAACAGCTGGTGATGAAAATGGCTTTTAGAAGCCAGGCCAGTGAAGATTGATGAAGAAATACRCAGCAAGAACCAAAAGTAGTAATGTCTGTGTAGATTTACAAATAATTACTGCTTCGGGGGAAGGCAGGAATGAGGGCAGCAACAACATTTGCAAGTCCTTGCATTTTGATAGAAGATAAAAACTAAAAGCAAAAATTACAAGCACTAAGCATCTTCCCCTATTACAAGTGTTAGAGCTGGCTGAAGAGATGGGTTGTTTTTAATTTCTGCTTCACACATGTGTTGTGATTTACCAAGTATTTGAAATTTTTCTTATCTGAAAAAAAAAACCCAGCCATTAAAAAAAAAAATACTTAAGCTGTTTCAGGATATAGGCACAATTTCTATCCCTCCAAGACCAGAAGCTGTCTTGAAGCAACTATTTCTAGCTGGCTCAGTAGTGCTAACTGCTGTTTGTAAAAAAATGCTCACCAAAATGTCTGTAAATACACCCAACGTTTTACCCTCCTGTGGTGCCCACTCCAAATTACCACTAGGTGATTCCACGGTTAGCTGGGTGAATTAATCTTACTTTCTGGCTTTTAGGTGGTCCATCCTGCTTGTCTCCTTCGGCACCTGGAGGTGATCCTCCCTGAGGATCCCCAGCGCTACCTCCTGGCTCCTTTTGGGCATCTGCTGGTGCGCTGCCTCCTGGCTCCTGCACAGTCGTTTGGGCATCTCCTGGCTCCTGCACAGGCGTCGTGCCATCTGCTGGCTCCTGCACAGTTTTCTTGGCATCTGCTGGCTCCTGCACAGGCTTCTTGGGCCGCAGGCGCCTGAAGAGCGGCGCGAACACAGGGTAGATGTAGGGCTCCAGGAATCTCTTGTAGAACCAGAGTAGAAAAGGGATCACAATGCAGGGAATGCACACCATGGCTTCCTCCTGTGCTGAGACAATGGTGGTGAGGGGAAAAAAACAGCTCAGGGTGGCAGTGCTTGTGTGCCACAAGCTAGGAAAACAGTATTTACATAATACATAAAAACCATATTTGATATTCAAACATTGATTATTCTTTAACTATAAATTAGCTGTTAAAGTTTAAAAAATACTGTGTGTTCCAATGTTATAAAATCTGAAAAAAAGGGGAATAATCTTGCAATTTTAACAAAAAAAAAATCCCAAAGAATTTGCTATTAATTCATCAGTCCCACAAATACAACTAGAGAAAACAAATTCAGAAAATATATAAAAAAAAAAAAAAAAATTTTAACAAAAAAAAAATCCCAAAGAATTTGCTATTAATTCATCAGTCCCACAAATACAACTAGAGAAAACAAATTCAGAAAATATTAATTTTTGTTTAAATCACACAAAACCAGTTTAAACACATATTAGAAGAGTGATTAGCCCAGTTCTTGCAATATTAAGGGGTTTGTTTTGCTATATCAAGTTTTATTGAAGGAGAAATTAGACAGCAGAAAGCCAATCCACCTGATGGATTGCTACCACTGAAGGGCAGGACAGTGGGAGAGGGGAAGAGAGTTCCAGTCAGGATTTGAGAGAAATAGAGTATAGATTACTTCCTTGCTTCTGCCCTCACTTGATCCCACAGCAAGCCCAAACAATTAACTATTAGAAAATGAACCATCTCCTCTTTTGGAAACCCCAGGAGGCTTCAAAATTGCCAGCCTGGAGCCTATGCTAAAAAAAAAAAAGCAGAAAAGCAATACAGAGAGGCAGAGAAGTACAGCTGGGAGAGGAAGCAGTTAATCAGGGCCAGAGCTGTCCCTGCCAGTGCTGACGAGCAATATAATAGACACACTCTGCTGCCACACAACTTTACCCTTCACATTCCCACTCTCTAGGCTGCTGACATCTCAATTCTTACACCAAGAAGAAAACAAAAGCTTTCCAAGATRGAGAATGAAGAGACAGATGTGCACACTTCACTAGGGACCAGTTTTACTCTTTTCTTTTAAGCTATCCTGAAGGTTTTTAGCCCTGTGCAAAAACAGAGTATCAATTTCCAGCTGACTAGTTCCAGGTTCTGTTCTGGAGGCTTCAAATATAGTTCAAATCTACTCTCTGATGCCTGAGAGGAATCTTCTATTGAGATAATGCAAATGAGTTAGTCCTTTAAACTTATTAAGAAAAATAATTCAGACACTCTCTCTCTCAGAATTTCCTAAATATTAAATTTCCAGCAAAACATTGTGGATTAATACAGCAACTGAAAAAAGTAGCTAGAGGAAACATGTCAGGCTGTAGAATCATCATAGCAGTATGGAATTATTTGGGTTGGGAGAGACCTTCCAGATCATTTCGTTCCACCCCCTGCCATGGGCAGGGACACCTTCCACTGTCCCAGGTCACTCCCAGCCCCAATGTCCAGCCTGGCCTTGGACACTGCCAGGGATCCAGGGGCAGCCACAGCTGCTCTGGGCACCYTGTGCCAGRGCCTCCYCACCCTCCCAGMCAGCAATTCCTTCCCAATATCCCATCCATCCCTGCCCTCTGGCACTGCCAAGCCATTCCCTGTGTCCTGTCATCCATGCTCCTTCCTAAGGAAACGGCACATGTTGTGTTGTCCCGCTGCAGCCGCTTCGTGTCAACATCCCTGACCAAAAGATCATCCCCTACCTCTGCCTGGTGCACCAGCGATCCCTGGGATCAGGGGGAAACACGGTCCTGGTRAATTCCTTCCGTGACTTGGTGATGCTCCGCACCTGGTTAGCAAGCTAAAAAAAACAAGAAAGGGAAAAAACAAGGGTGAAAATGTGGTCAGAATTTASCTGTCAGAGCATTTTTTGTCACAGGCAGCGCTGCTGGTGTCTGTGAGCCCCCACACAGCAGGGGAAGCGCTGACGGGCAAACCTCGGCGCGGCAGGGCTTTGCTCTCACCGGCTGGAAAACGCTACATGGGCAAAAACACCGGGGTTTTCCCGTTTTCCGTAAAGGACACGCCAGACTAGACGAGTGACTTATGTCAGGCGTTGCCGTTCCGCTCCCCGAGGGCGGCTGGGGCCGGTACAGTCCGTGCGCCCTCGGTTACCGGCGCGGCCGGACACGCGCGGACCGTGCGGAGCGGCGGCGGGGGGCGGGGCGGGACGCGGTGGGGTGTGTGGGGCGGGGTGCGGTGGGGCGCAGCGGGGTGTAGCAGGGTGCGGGGAACAGGGTGAGTTGGGGTGTGGGGAAGGGATCATTCCCTGCTCCCGGCGCTCCGCACCCACCTGCGCCCGCACCGGAACGGCCCCGCGCTTCCGGGGCGGCGCTTGCGCCAATGGCAGGCGGCAGCGCGCATCACGTGACCTGCAGGCCCCGCCCACACGGAGACCGGCGGGAGCAGGGACAGGGACACGCACCGGGACCGGCGGGAGCGGGGATAGGGATACGCACCGGGAC